AAATTGCTTGAGTTGATGATTTTAAAATGAAATTAATATTTACTGATAATTAGTGTTAGTTTGATTTTTTAATTGTTAATTCATCTGATAAATTTTTCTTTNAATAATATTAATAGAATACAAACAATTATTCAAATGTGAAAAAATAATTTTTACGGATAGCAAATTTTTTATGATAAATGCATTGATATTGTTGTTGAAAAAAATTGTCCTAATCTTTGACAAATGATAGAAAAATCTACTAGCCCTTTTTATCATTCTTATCTTTTGTATGAGATGATAATAATTCCGGATAGCTCCTTCTAATTAGTTATTGGAGTGATAAAATCAACAGAATATGGATAAAGTTTTTGCTAGAAACAAGAAAAAGAAAAGATGAAATTAATAAAGAAAAAAATTTAATATTTGGATATTTTTGTTTTACTAATTATTTCAAGTTTTAAATTATACTTACATTTAAAATAATCATTCCTATTTCAATATTTTCACACCTTCTCATTTAATAATTTCAGATGGTGGAGGAGGAGGCAAAAAGAAGGGTAAATCCGGTTCATTCATGACCGTTTCCATGCTATATCGTGAATCACTGAATAATTTAATGACAATGTTGAATATGACTCATCCACATTTCATTCGTTGTATTATACCAAATGAGAAGAAACAATCCGGTTTATTGGATGCTGCATTGGTATTAAATCAGCTAACATGCAACGGTGTGCTGGAAGGTATTCGTATTTGTCGTAAAGGTTTCCCGAACAGGTATATTTTTTTAATTTCATTTCTAATAATTTAAAAATATTACATCTGAATTGATTTTACGTGAAATTTTTTACTTTAATTATAGAAATTTGAAGTTTGAAATAAGTTCCATTTAATGATTAAAATATATTTTATGCAAAGATTTTTTCTACAAATAAATTTTATTGAAAAAATTCCAAATTAACATTTAATCATCCTTATTGATCATTTCATTTGAATGATAATCTTAAGGATCAGTTTGAAATAGCAATTTTATAATCAAATATTTGTTTAATTTTAATTTTCATTAATTACGAAATGTGACCTGTTGCAATGTTAAATAATTCACAAATTTTTTTCTTGTTTTTTCTTAATAAATAGATTTTATTTTATAGAATGGTACATAAAGATTTCAAGCAACGTTACTCATTGCTTGCCGCGGATGAATCAGTGAGTACCACGGATATAAAGAAATGTGCGGAAACAATGTTGGGCAGATTAGTAAAGGATAATATTTTAACAGATGAAAACTTCCGAATTGGTCAAACGAAAGTTTTCTTCAAAGCTGGCGTATTAGCGCATTTGGAAGATGTTCGTGATGAGGCACTAAAAACGCTTCTGACAAAATTGCAATCACAAATTAAATGGTACTTGGGTTTAACTGATAAAAAACGACGTATTCAACAGAAAGCCGGTTTACTTATCGTACAACGAAATGTTCGTGCATGGTGCTCATTGCGAACATGGAATTGGTTTAAATTGTATACCAAAGTTCGACCAATGTTAAAGGAAGGAAAGGTAGCAGAAGAGATGGAAAAATTACAGGAAAAATTAAAATCACTTGAGGAAACACTACAAAAAGAGGAAAGTTTGCGGAAAAGTTTGGATGATACGGCCAAAAAAATGGAAACTGAAAAAGCAGAATTATTTGAAAAATTGGAAGCTGTTAAAAATAATCTTACCAAATCGGAGGGAAATCTTTCACAAATGGAAACCGCAAAAACGGATGCTGATAGAAAACTTGAGGTAAATATTATTTCAGATATCTCTTATTTCAATCACTTTAAATTTATTTGGTTTAATGTCAATATCTGTTAATTCAATTTAAACTGAAATAGTTTAGTTAATATCCAACTCCATGAAATTCATGTTCCCGATATTCTGATCAGAAATAAAACTGGATGAAAATTTCTTGTTTTATTTAAAAACTTTTGTTTTTTTTTTTCTTCAGGAACTAAATGAGCAGCTTGCTGATGTTGAGGATCAAAATACGGAAATTCAACGATCCAAAAAGAAAGTGGAAGGTGAAATTGATGCATTGAAGAAGCAAATTCAGGATTTGGAAATGAGTGTGCGTAAGGCAGAAATGGAAAGGCAATCAAAGGATCATCAAATTCGATCACTGCAAGATGAACTTCAGCAACAATCGGAATCTGTTGCAAAATTAAACAAGGAAATTAAACATCAGGAAGAGATGAATAAGAAAATAACAGAAGATTTACAAGGTGAGGAGGATAAAACAAATCATGCAAACAAGCTCAAAAGTAAGTTGGAGCAAACATTGAATGATTTGGAAGATAATTTGGAACGTGAACGACGTGCAAAAGCTGATAGTGAAAAATCGAAGAGGAAACTTGAAGGTGAACTAAAAATTGCATTAGAAACGATCGAAGAAGCAACACGTCAACGACGTGATTTAGAAAATAATATGAAACGAAAGGAAACTGAATTGAATACATTAAGTAGCCGATTAGAAGATGAACAATCAACAATTAGTAAGTTGCAACGACAAATTAAAGAATTACAAAGCCGCGCAGCGGAACTGGAAGATGAAGTGCATAATGAGCGACAATCACGATCTAAAACTGATAAAGCACGTTCTGATATTCAACACGAATTAGAGGATTTAAATGATCGTTTAGACGAGCAAGGTGGTGCAACAGCAGCGCAAATAGAAATTAATAAGAAACGTGAAGCTGAACTAGCTAAACTTCGTCGTGATATCGAAGAAGCTAATATGAATCATGAAAGTCAATTAGCTGCGCTACGTAAAAAGCATACCGATGCAGTTGCTGAATTAACTGATCAATTAGATCAAATTCAAAAGCAAAAGCAAAAATTGGAAAAGGATAAATCACAATATGTGAGAAATGCCGATGATTTAGCTGCTCAGTTGGATAGTGAAAGTGCTGCTAAAGTTAGCAATGAAAAATTAGTGAAGCAATTCGAATTACAATTAAACGATTTGCAAGCTCGAGCAGATGAGCAAGCACGTCAATTACACGATTACAGTTCAATTCGTAATCGTCTTGGAAATGAGAATAGCGATATGATACGACAACTGGAAGATGCGGAAGAGCAAGTTGCAACATTACAACGATTTAAAGCCCAATTAATGTCACAAATTGAAGATGTTCGTTCAGCTGCTGATGAAGAAGTACGTGAACGACAAGCGCTTGCGGCGCAAGTGAAAGTTTTACAAGTGGAAGCGGAACAAGCACATAATAATTTGGAGGAAGAGATTGAATCGAAGAATGAAGTAGCACGACAATTGAGTAAAGCAAATGGTGAAATTCAACAATGGCAGTCACGTTTCGAACAAGATGGCATGATTCAAGCTACGGAAATTGAAGAAATTCGTCGTAAGCAAGGTGTTAAAATTAGTGAATTACAAGAAGCACTTGAACATGCTAATCAGAAGATTATATCATTGGAAAAAGCACGATCACGCCTTCTTGGTGATCTTGATGATGCGCAAGTTGACGTGGAACGTGCAAATGCTGTAGCAAGTCAACTGGAGAAGAAGCAAAAAGGCTTTGATGCAGTAAATTTTAATTTTTATTTCAATATTGTTGCAATTTGAGTTCAAAATGTCAAAATTTAACCTATTTATCTTATTAAAATATGGTAATAGCATCAGTTGGATTGTATCGAAATATGTTGCAAAGTATTTTTGAATTTTGAAAAATCTATCTAATTCAAAATATAAAAGGGGTAGATTACATTTGCATCAAATTATACGTAATTTAACGATCGCAGATCGCAGACCCGTCGATCTCTTTTTTCAGATCATTTTCCTACATTTTAATTTAATTATAGCATGGATCATTTAAAAATCAATTAATCAGGTAGTGAGGATTACAGTAGGAGAAAATACTTAAATGTAAAATAGTTTTAAAATTTAATATAAAATTTTTTATAACTTTGCAAAAATTAATGTTTTTTTTAGAAGACTGAATGATAATCCAAACATTTTCATTGCAAATTTTTTAAAAAATTTCATTTGATCAAATATTTGCAGCTTGTTGATGAGTGGAAAAAGAAAGCTGATGATATGGCAGCAGAACTTGATGCTGTTCAACGTGAAGTACATAGTTTATCGACGGATTTGTTCAAAATGAAAACAACCTATGAAGAGCATTCTGAAACAGTTGAAGGACTTCGTCATGAAAATAAAGCTTTAAGTAATGAAATTAGAGATCTCACTGATCAGCTTAGTGAAGGTGGACGCTCTCAACATGAAATGCAAAAAATGATCCGACGATTGGAAATTGAAAAAGAGGAATTACAACATGCACTCGATGAAGCAGAAGGTAAATATTTGAAAACATTGAAATCAGCAATTCATAAGTTATAGAAAAATTTTTTTAAATTTTAACATATCATTATGACCAAATTTTTTTTCTAGGAGCATTAGAAGCAGAAGAAAGTAAAGTAATGCGAGCGCAGGTGGAAGTATCACAGATACGTTCTGAAATTGAAAAAAGAATACAGGAGAAAGAAGAAGATTTTGAAAATACACGACGAAATCATCAACGTGCATTGGAATCGATGCAAGCATCATTGGAAGCAGAATCAAAAAGTAAAAATGAACTTCTACGTGTTAAGAAAAAGCTTGAATCAGATATTAATGAGATTGAAATTGCACTCGATCATGCTAATAAAGGAAATGCCGATGCGCAGAAAAATTTGAAACGATGCACGGAGCAAATTCGTGAAATTCAATTACAGGTTTGTTAATTCTATACTTATTAGATTAAGATTGTTGTAATAATTATTCGTTACTATAAGTTTCTATCGTTATTTCATTGAATAAATTTGAAATTAAAATTAAAAAAAATAAAATGGTTTTCTTTTTTAAATTAAATATAGATTTTAATTTTTAATCTATTAAGCTATACTTCAGTTATTGTTTTCTTTGAGAGAGAAAAACCATTATTTCAGAAAACTTATTTGTTATTTCAACATTCTTTTTTTCAATTTTTCAAAAAGTAATTTATGAAGATTTTCAAAAAATACAATAATAATTTGGATTAAAAAAAAAATTAAATTTGAGCATTACAAAGTAATTTTGATAGATCGAAGAAGAGCAACGACAACGTGATGAAATGAAACAACATTATTACACTGCTGAAAAACGTGTGCAAATTTTGGAAGCTGAAAAAGATGAAATTAGCCAAGCATTGGAACAAGCGGAACGAGCCCGAAAACAAGCGGAATTGGAAGCGAATGAAAGTCGTGATCAAGCTAATGAATTAAATATGCAAGTTAGCAATCTTAGCGCCGCAAAGAGGAAAACTGAAGGAGAACTACAGGCAAGTTAACAATAATTTTATGCAATTAATTGAATGAAAACTTCAGTAATTAATCAGCAATTACTTTCATTGATTTCAAAATTTGTTTATGCTAAAGAAAAAAATAATTTTTTTTGCCATCGTAATTTTTTAAAATTCAATTTTTAAAAGAGTGATAAATTTTCTCGTCCTATCATTCAGCTATAATGAGTAATAATGAATTGGTGATGATGATATTTTGCAGTGAAAAAACAAGCGTGATTTGAGTGAGATTTAAAATTTTCTAGGCCATTCATGCAGACATGGATGAAACATTGAACGAATTTCGTGCTTCGGAAGAACGAAGTAAGCGAGCAATCGCTGATGTTGAAAGGCTTGCTGAAGAATACCGGCAAGAACAAGAACACGGTTTGCATATTGATAGGATGAGAAAGGGCCTTGAAGCACAAATTAAAGACATGCAGGCATGTTTTTTCTCTTGTCTAAAAAAATTCAAAATATAGCTAAAATTTTAATTATTTTTAAATATTTTGAATTTAAAATAAGGAATTCTTGAACTTTGGTAATATCGGAAATATCTGAACTTTTGAATTTAAGTTCACTTATTTTTTCCTCTCAAAAGATTTCATTTTAATTGCTAATTAATTAGATTAATTTAAACTAAAAAATATAATTCAAATACTTAAATAATTTAAATACACTTAAGTGTAAATTTTATGATAATCAACGTGAAGTATGATCAGTTTATTAATTTATCATAAATTAATAAAATTGGTTGAGCATGAAAATGAACGAAAATAATTTAACATAAATTGATAATATATTTTTTCCTAAATTGTTGAATTTTCATAATATCAGAAAGAGTTAAATTTAAGTTCAGTTCAACTTCACTTACTTTTTCTTCACAACGACTTCATTTTAATTGTTGACTTCATTAATATGCATTAAGTTCAGTTCACTTTGATTACGGATCGTCAACTGATCCGTAATCAGATATGATTTACCCATTTACATTTTTACAATCCCTGCATATACTTAAATCCCCCAAAACTTAAAAAAATTAATCAACCATGAGTAAATTGACATTTCATACTATCATTGAAATTATTTATTGCTTTACATTACAATTATTTAAATTTTAAATTTTAGGTGCAGTTGGAAGAAGCCGAGCAAGCAGCACTGAAAGGAGGCAAAAAAGTGATTACCAAACTGGAACAACGCATTCATGATCTCGAAGCTGAACTTGACGGTGAACAACATCGTTATCAGGAAGCCAGTAAAAATGTTGCAAAATCCGAGAGGCGAGTACGCGAATTACAATTTCAAGTGGACGAGGATAAGAAAAATTACGAACGCTTGCAGGATCTCGTCGATAAACTTCAAAGCAAAATTAAAACACAAAAGAAGCAATTAGAAGATGCTGTGAGTTCTATTTCTCATACTTTTCTTAAGAAATTTTTTCAACTATTTAATTTAAATTGGCAATGAAAATGGAAAGAATTTCAGGAGTAAATGATTTAAAGATAATCCTCATAAAATTCTGATTGATAAATTTGAGCGAATCAATTTAAATTATATGCTTCATGGAATTATTCAAGTACCAAATCTAAACAATTCAAATATCATTAACGTTTATATTGAGTATTTTATATTTGAATATATTAAAAATTAAATGTATTATCAGTAGATAATAAATTCATATTCTCGATGATATCGGTATAATAAATATTTTGTAGGGATGAAAGGAAACGAATGATTTGTAATAATATACTATTATTTAACTAATAATGTTCACTGATAAGGAATATGTGATTTGAGAAATATACAAAAAAAAATTTGCTAAAATGTGAGCAAAATCCTGAATTACAAAAAATATTCATTTATTGATAAATTAATTATTGAAAAATTAACAAGTAATGACAAACTTCTCATCTGATCTTATCACTTATTATTTGGTTGATATCATTATCTTAATAATTACTACGGTAAAAATCAAGCATCTATTCATTACGCCTTTTTTTTTCTTGCAATACACGTCATATTTGTGATATATGAAAAAATCACGTGAAATATGCGATTTTCATTAGTTGCAAGCATTTTTTCCTTTCTTTTTTTGGCTTTTAAATAATCCTTCCAAAATGAAATTATTTAATTAATTTATAATTTGCAGGAAGAGTTAGCAAATCTAAATTTGCAAAAATATCGACAAATTCAGCATCAACTGGAAGATGCCGAAGAGCGTGCTGACAATGCCGAAAATTCCGTCACAAAAATGCGTTCAATGAGCCGAACAGCAATGTCGGTTGGACCGGGTGTTGGATTACAGGGAGCTCGTTCCGCTACCGTACTTCGTTCATCATCTCGTAATCGAATTTCCGACTATTAAATGCTGTAAAATTTTCTTTCTTTTAAAACGAAAAAAAAAAAGAACGAATGATATTTCTATCAAACTGATCCATTTACTTCGATTTGATGCATAGTTCTCTTGGAATGATCACATTTTTCTTTTTCTTGATATTATCATTGTATATGGTTTTTGCGATCCGACAAATAGAGTTAAAAAAAAAAATACGAATAAAAAAAGAAATGTTTGTTCTCTTAAAAAGGAAAAGAAAGTGATATGATATGATATGATAGGATATAATATCAAACATATCGCTCATTTCAAATATTCCAAAGCAAAAAAAAAAATTGAAAATGATTTTCAAAACTGATAATGGTACATTTTTACTTGAAATTAAGATATCGAATTACGAAACACAATTTTTTCTTTTTTAATCCCAACCATACAATACATAATAATCATAATAATAATGATAATAGTAATAATGATAGTAGTATTAGTAATAATAGTAATAATAATAAAGTAATACGGTATTAGTAGTTTACATATTAATACACAAACACTTACAATGAAAAAAAAAATGAAGGAGCAACAAATAGTAATAGAAAAATTGTCAACTAATTATTCTATTCAATTATTATTTATTCGGTCCTTGAACGTTTCTGTTCAATAACTAACGATAATGGTGAATGTGGCGATGATGCTTTTCCGGAAGTACCGTCGCTTAATCCGCTTGGACTACAACAATCCACCGGTGAAGTTATCTGAAATTCATGCTTAGAAAAAGGGGAATAAATAAATAAACAAATTTATATTTATGCACAAATAAACAAAAATTCATATTAGTAAACAAATTCATATTTTTAAAATTTATAGTTTTTTATTTATTTATGTTATTTGCATATTTATTCGTATATTATTAATTAATTGAACGATTATGATAATCGTATCATTTTTTAATTTATTTAATTAATCAATTAATTAAAAGATAACAATTATACCGTATTATTATTGCTATACTTACAGAAAGTGGCAATACACCAGTTTGTGCGCGTAATTTTAAAAAGCAATCATGACATCGAGGATGATCAAAGCTGCTACTGATAATTAAATATTCATGATGACGCTAAAAAAATATGATTTCAGAGTAGATAAAACATTTGCTGGGCAAATAATTTAATTAATGGAAGCATTTGGTATTTTATTCAAATATACGTCGCATTTTTTGTTGATTTTAATTACAAAAAAACTGAAATTGAAGAAAAATATTAAAATTGTATTCCTTGCATTTTAAGTTATCAGACAAAAA